GGGTATTCTGTGTTGTTGCTGACGGAGCTCCTTACTGCACTTCCACCCAATCTGCCATCTTGTTTGTTCCTGCCCTTTTAAGGAAGGAATCTGGATGGCCTTTTTAATATAACCAGAGTGTGGATAATTTTGGATTCTTCCTTGCATATCCCACCATAATCCTGTCTCATCAACAACTCATTTCCAAATGGGACAATAACCACAGACAAAAAGGGCAGAATTTATAATACATTACAAAATGAAGGATAAATACATCTGATCAGAAAATGGAGGATGATTTCATCATTACATAACTGCCAAATTAACACCATTATAGTAAGACCAAGACACTGAAAATCATGGTCCAGCCAAGTTGACACATAATAATAACCATCACAGGTTCCATACACCTTATTTGCATTCACAGCAAGCTGTACAATCCTCTTGGTGGGCCACAAGCACCTTATTTGCATGGCCCCACCCAGTCATTGTGTGAGAGTAACAAAGACAATGGCAAGAAGGACTATATTAAGTAATTCACTGTGCCACACTTCCCTTTCCAGGAATGTGGTAAGGTAAACTTTCTAGGCAGCGCTATGTGGTAGGCAAGACTTGTGCAGTATAGAGACCTATGGTGGCAGGTGGTGGTGAAATGCTATGCAGTATGCATGTATTCTGTACTTGGTTCAAGAACTGGTCCTCAGAAATATCAAAGTGCCCACACACCTATAGGGTAGCCATCTCTTGTGCACACTCTCAAGTCACTAAGATTTGAGGGCTCTGTTGCAGAGTGCTATGAATTAAGTTGTTAGAATCCTAACCGCTCCTTGGAAACCCTTTACAGGTCACTATGGGTCAGAACTGACTGACAACAATCCTGTTTGGAAATAGGGGTTTTCTTTGTTATGTTCATCTGATCATATCAAAGTAGGGTGGGTTCTAAATCTAATTACCTCTGAATTATAAAAAGAAGAAATTAGATATGTGCCTGGTATGGTGCTGTGGGTTAATGCGCCAGACTGCAGAGTCGTTTGAACTGCAAGGTCGGTGGTTCAAATTCACCAGCTGCTCCTTGGAAACCCTATACAGGATCGCTATGGGTCAGAATTGACGGCACTTAACAACAACAACATGCACACACACAGGAAGAAGAAAGACGTCATGCTGAGGATGATCTAGAAGGTAAAAATAGACCCTGGTTTGGACTTTTAGTTCCAAAACTGTAAGAAAATAAATTTATGTTCTTAAATGTAGAACAAAAATCAAAATCATATAAAAATACCAGGGTTACTGGTCAGAAAGAGACTGGAAGAATCCAGAGACTGTGGCCCTTGTGGCCCCATTTTTAGCCAAGCAGTAGGCAGGTATATAAGGGGTACAACAAGACAAGTAAGGTATGCACACCAGAGAATGGCCAACCATTCGAGATCAAAAAGCAGCATTTAGCCAAGGACAAAATTCAGAAGGGTTGGGAAAGAAGATGGAATGGAAACAAAAATCTCAGGGAGGAAGTAGGATACGTAATGTTACATTGCAGTCGTTGAGATGAAACCAAGTGTATGATTTACTAAATGTAAAACGGATGATCTGGTCTCAAATCACAAGGGCTTAAAAAATGTTTTGTGTTTTTAAAGCCACCCACTAATGTTATTTCTGTCACAACAGCAGTAGGAAACAACATGCAAGGTTAGACTACCAATGCATCCTGATTGCTAAAACCAAACCAAACCAAACCTATGGCCAACTCATAGCAATGGAGTAGAACTGCGCCACAGGATTGCCAATGTTGTCATCTGTAAGAAGACGACTTTCACACCTTCCTTCCACCTTTCTCCCACAAAGCAGCTGGTGTGTTCAAACTGCTGACCTTTTAGTTAGGAGCTACGTACCTAACTCCTGCACCACCAGGGCCCCTCCCCTGACTGCTTGTTGATAAGTGCCGTCAAGTCAGTTCTGACTCATACCAACTCTATATAGGGTTTCCAAGGAGCAGCTGGTGAGTTTGAACTACTGACCTTGTGGTTATCAGTCCAGTGCTTATTCCACAGCACCACATCAGGACTTCTACAAATCCTCACTCTCCTGGCCAGTTGGTCCTAATGGTGGTGGTGGTGGTGGTTATGTGCTGTGGAGTTGGTTCCACAAAGGGAACTCATAGCAATCCTGCATAGGGTTTCCAAGGCTGTAAATTTTTATGGGAGCAGAAAGCCTCATCTTTCTCCTGCTGAACAGCTGGTAGTTTCGAACTGCTGACCTTGAGGTTAGCAGCCCGACTCACAACCACTACACTGCTTGAGCTCTTAGTCCTAATTGTACCCAAGTCAAATACAATCTGGCTCACCTGTTTTCCACTTACTGAACACAACAACACTCCAGTTCCATCTTTGAGTTCCCAATCTTTGGTTAGACATGTATAGGCCTTCTTAGCCAACCCCCATGATGACAACTGGGTCTATTATACTGACGAAGGCTTAGGGTCAAAGGACACTATATGAATCTGTGTGACTTTGAGTGTGTTGCTTAGGCATCCTGTGTCCAATGTTTTCACTGTGGTAATAATTCTTGACTTGCCACTCCAGGAGAATTAGAGAGCTTCCGGGATTATAGAGACCTGTGAACCACCCCCAGGGAGAAGGCTCCCTCAGATAGACAGATCTCCAGGGCTGGCAAAGACAGCTAATTCTCTGCTCCCTCCACTCACAATGTCTGCCTATGACTGGGGTCCGGCACTCATCTTATTCCCCAGGATGCCCTGCACCTGGGTACATCGAAGCTGCAGAACAGAGCTGCTTCCTCCAATCTCTGCCCTGAGAGATCTCCAGAGCTGATAGGGGCCTGAGCCACATCCTCTGGGCAGAGCTATCCACAACAATCTCAGCTCCCCCAACCTTGTCTCAGACTCTTGGGGTATTTTATTTTCCTCTTTGTTTCTGCATAATCGCCCTCAGGATGAATGCTAACCATGTGTCCACAGAACAAGGAGATTTTCCAGGGGAAAAGGAGAAGGGTGTGGAAGACAGGTGGCCCCAGGAGCGTCCTAGTTTTGCCCTTCCTGTGCTTTGCTCATGTCAAGAGCCAGGCAGGAAGCTCTTCAGAGCATTGCTCAAGAGCAGGAGGGGCCCAGGAGTATTGGGGTGAGGGGTAGGAGGGGAGCACTCTGGCTGCCCCTCAGCCCAGCCCCAGTGTTCCCTCTCACAAACGGATGAGATAGGGCCAGATGTGGAGGTTCAAATGCACTTCATTTGCAAGGAGCCAGGAGTCCAGGCCTGTGGGTGTTAGGAGCAGAAACAGGGCATCAGCCTGGAGACCAAGGGGGAGGGAGGGAAGAGGTGGATCAAAGCCCGTGAAGGGCTCTCCAGGGCAAAAGCAAACACTGAGGTAGCTGCTGCTCCCACAGAGCACTTCCATTGCCCCCGCCCCCAGCTATAAGGGCCCCCACCCCAGGCGAGGCACCCAGGCTGTAGAGGTATCATGGCCAAGTCACACCTGCTGCTGTGGCTGCTGCTGCTGCTCACACTCTGTGGCCCAGGCACTGGTGAGTGTCCCAGCCCCACCTCACCTCCCTTCCACCTGAGGCCATCTCCACCATTGATTGAGTGCTGACTCTATACCAAGGAGCCCTGGTGGTGTTGTGGGATAAACATTGGACTGCTATCTGAAAGGTTCGAATCCACCAGCTCCCGTAAAGATTTACAGTCTTGGGAATTCTACATAGGATAGCCATGAGTCAACACCAACTGGAAGGCAGCAGGTTTTAGTTTTTTGTGGGTTTGTTTGTTTGTGGTGGCTTTATGCCAGGCACTACCCCAAAGCTGGAGTCCTGGTGTGGCGCTGTGGGTTAATGCACCAGACTGCAAAGCTGTTTGAACTGCAAGGTCGGTGGTTCAAGCTCACCAGCTGCTCCTTGGAAACCCTATACAGGGTCGCTATGGGTCAGAATCAACTTGATAGCACTTTACAACAACAACCCCAAATCTATACTTTATCCCAGCTTAAAGGTGAGGGGGCAGGACGTATCCACAGTCACACAGTTGGTAGGGACCCAGAATTATCGGACTCCAGCTGGTTTAACAGCCATGCCTCCCAGTTCCCTGAGAAGTTGGGTTTGTGTGTTAGGTGAGGTCAGGGTCCTAGGATCTAGACTGAGAAAGTTGCTCTGGCCCCAAGCAGCAGCTGTCTGGAACTCCTCGTCCCTGGAATGTACCCAGGGCCCTGAGTTCTGGTGCCAAGGTCTGGAGCAAGCATTGCGATGTGGAGCCCTGGGACACTGCCTACAGGAAGTCTGGGGACATGCAGGCGCTGTGAGTACCAATCAAGGACACACAGGAACGAGGGGTCTGAATAGAGGGTACTAGGTGAGCTCCTGATGGCCCTGAGGGAATGGAACAGGGTAAGCTGAAATGGGTTGGGATGATTTGGGATGGGATGGGACAGGATGGGACTGGACGGGATGGAATGGGATGGGATGTAAGCCTTTGACTTCTGCTGAAAGTGCTCACCTACTTGGGTTAGTGTTGGGAACATGTTCTCCACTCCCATACCCCCATCTCCACCCCACTTCCAAGGATGACCTGTGCCAGGAGTGTGAAAACATTGTCCAAATCCTCACCAAGATGACCAAGGAGGACACGTTCCAGGTGATGAGACACAGATCCTGAGGGAAGCTTAAGGACCAAGACAGAGCAGGGGTAGTGATTAATCCCCCAAAGAGGTCACTTCCTGGCCCAGGATGAGACCCGAGTGTGTCTGGGACCCCAGGGGTGAGCTCAGCAGCACAGCCAGAGATGGTCTCTCCTGAGGGAAAGGGTGCCCTTTGTGTTAACTCCTTAAGCCCTTGGCACACAAGTGTCCTGGGGGGAGACTGGTCATTCTGCCTGGAGAGGGCCTCAGACGCGGGCAGGGGCAGCCCTCAGAGAAGCTGGGCTGACTGGGTCCTCCCACTTTCCTCTGCTCCACCTCCCAGGACATGATTCAGAGGTTCACAGAGCACCAGTGTGATGTCTTTCCCCTGAAGCTGCTCGTGCCCCAGTGCGGACGTATACTCCACCTCTATCTTCCACTGGTCATCTACTACTTCCAGAATCAGATCGTGAGGGTCACTGCACCTGCTCCCCTGCCACACACAGAGAGACCCTGCCCACAGCATGTCCAAGAGTCTGAGTGCCCCTCAGCCAGGAGCCCCGGATGGAGTCCCATCTGCTCAACTGTACACAGTGGTCTGCATGCACTCAAACATTCGTAGACGCTCATACTCCGCACACACCATGTACAAAACCCACACCAGTACACAGGTATCATTACACACATGCTCATTCACACCTTGGCGCTCATCCCCACCCCCCCAAAACCCACACACAGCCCCATTGCTGCCTTTTGTCTCTCCAACCTCCATAAGCTAAACTACAGCTTTTCCACTCAGCCTGAACCATACATTTCTAGTCCCAAAGACCAGGGTGCTAGTCCCTGAGCCCTTGAGGCCAATCTGAGCAGAAATGGGGTCCCTCCCCCTTCGTTCTTCAGTTGTCCCCCATCCAAATCTCTGCATTGTACCCTAGGACCCAAAGACCATCTGTGACCACTTAAGCCTGTGCAAATCCAGGCATCCGGACCCAAGGCAGGAGCCCGGGCAGGAACCAGGGCTGCCAGATCCTCTGCTGGACAGTGTGGTCCTCTCCGTGCTGCCCGGGGCTGTCCAGAAGGGTGTTGGGCCTTATACACAGGTGAGAGATGCCCTGCAAAGCCAGCCTCTCACATTAGGTAGTGGGGACCCAGAGGTCGGGGGCCACAGCCAAGGCTCATGAGACCTTGGGAGGTGGGGGAGGAGGGGTCAGTGGATCCAGGATGCTAGGGTTCCAGCTAGAGGCTGGGCTGGAGGAGAGGGAAGGCTGGAGGGGCAGAGCGAGCAAAGGAGGAAGTGAGAAGCCTGAGATAGAAAGGAGGTGGCTGGGGAGGCTTAGAACTCACCGCCTCCATCCTTGCTCTCTCCCTAGGATCTCACCCAGCAGCAGTTCCCAATCCCCCTACCCTTCTGCTGGCTCTGCAGGACTCTGATCCAGAAGGTCCAGTCTATGATACCCAAGGTGAGGGGTCCAGGCCCAGAGGGGTTTGGTGGGGTTCCAGCAGCTGCACCCTCCCATCCACCCCCACACCTTGCTGGCAGCCAGAAATAGGACCCCAGGCCTCAGACTCAGGCTTGGTAGGCGCTTTGCTGAAAACCTCTTCAATGAACATGACCACCACCCCAGTTGATGTGAACTGCCCATAGTTTCCAAGGCTATAATTCTTTTCGGGAGCAGACAGACTCATCTTTCTCCCAAGGAGCATCCGAGGGCTTAATCACTGTGCCACCATCTAAATCCATGAGAGAGGGTAAGATCACCCAGGCACAGAGTGTGGAAGGGATGAGAAAGCTCTGGAGCACACCAACAAACATCAGCTGAGCAGAGGAAATGCCAATCAAGGAGCCTGAAGTGGTGTCATAGAAACTAAGAGAAGAAAGGGCTACGAAAGAAGGGTATTGTCATGGGGCTGACAGCTTCTGAAAACTCCAACAAGAGAAGACAGGTCCAGAGGTGGTTGGTCTTGATGGGCGCTGTTTTAGAAGAATGGTGGGGACTGAGCCCAAATGGAGCGGGCTAAGAGGACAAGGGAGAGGAAGAAGTAGAGTAGCAAGTATGGACAACTCTTAAATGTTTCTGCAAAGGGCAGCAGAGATAGGAGGAGGCGTTTTAGTGACAGAAGCTATTTTAGCATGTTCGCAGGCCAGTGGGACTGGTAAGCAGAAGGGAATGAGGCTAGAGAAAGAGCCTTATGAGAAGCATGGGGGAAGCACTTATGAAGGGAGCAGGGCAGCATCCAGGTGGGACTAGGCATGAGGAGATGGATAAAAGCAAGAATCCTTCACCCAGCATAGCAGGAGAGGAGGAGGAGTGTAGGTTCCCATGCACATAAGTGGGTTCACTTAGTGACAGAAGTTACCACACTCCAAAGAAAACGTATTTCTGTGTGTCCAACTCCTACCTTAACCTCCTTTACAGTGGGGGTGGGCGCAGCCCATGGTCACAAACAGGAACAGGACCAACACCAGCCTGTGTAGTGGGTCCTTTATGCTAACTGACTGAGTGAATATAGGTGTGAGGCATGAACCACCGTGCATTCTCCCTCTCTCTTACCCTGCAGCTCCGAAGTTGTGTTTGGAATCAGTCTCCCCTTAGGGAACACCTGAGGCCAAGGACTTGATTCCAGAAATAAAGCGAAAAATCAAATCAGCTGCTACTGAATTCATTCTGACTCCTGAGTGTCAACAGGGGAGTTTCAAAGGATAGTTTTTAGGAAGTAGATCACCAGGCCTTTCTTTCAATGCACCGCTAAGTGGGCTCAAACCTCCAACCTTTCAGCATGCGTGCTAACCATTTGCACCACCCAGATACTCCATTGCCAGGATGGACTTGGCCTGTGGGGGGGTAGAGGGATCTGGGTCAGGATCCGGGAGACACAGTCCTGGTTCTGGCTCTACCCAGGCTGCTGTGTGTCCTTGGTGACACCCATATCTCTGGTGCAGTGTTAGAGGCTGGGTTCCCTCTGCTCCCCAGAGTTAAGGGTCAGATAGTGTGGGTCTTCAGACCAGCTTGGGCCCTTGCTTAAAGACTCCAGATGGATCAGTTGGACTCTCTGGCCTTTGGTTTCTTTACCTATGAAAGTCTCCTTTATGGACAGGGGCACAGGGATGTTTACAATGTGCCCCGAAAGCTCCTTGTCAAGGGAAGGTCCCACTCTGTCCTCGGTCTGCTCTCACCCCAGGGTGCGCTGGCTGTGGCTGTGGCTCAGGTATGCCACGTGGTGCCCCTGGTGGTGGGCGGCATCTGCCAGTGCCTTGCCGAACGCTACACTACCATCCTGTTGGACGCCCTGATGAGCCGCGTACTACCCCAACTGGTCTGTGGCCTCGTCCTTCGGTGCACCCGTGTGGACAGCTTTAGTCCAGGTGAGCCTGCTGGCCTCCAGCATCTGCCCACTGTCCATTCTCCTCCTGGACCTGCACGACACCTCTCCCAGTCCCTCACAGCGTACCAGTGAGGGCAAGGCAGCCTAACCATTTTCTCTGTAGCCCTCGCTGCTCTGGAGTTCCCACCAGGAGAGTGGCTGACACAAGACTCCAAGTGCAACCTCTGCATGTCTCTGATGACCAAGATCGGGAACAGCACCGAGCAGGCCACGCCACAGACGATACTCCGGGCCTGCCACAGCAGCTGGGATGATGGGCAAAAGGTGCAAGACAGGCACTGGGGTCTGGAGTGAGCATGGGAGTCACACAGGGTATTTTATAAGGTGTTGTCTAGAGCACAGATGGTAAACATGTGGCACATATACTGATACTCTTCTCATATCCGTGGCAGGCATCACTAATTGATCCCAGCACTCTCTCACATTGTCCTGAAGTCCTTAACAGAAAGTTCTGGACAGTCGCTACCATGCCCCTCTCATGACTCAGCTTAGAATGTTGCCTACAGCCCGGCTGGTCAATGGGGCTGATGGCTGGACCTACCAAGGGCAGGAGAGGAATCCCTGGGTCATCCAGATATGGGCAGGAGAATCCTAGAATGCACCTGAGTCCAACCCACTTCAGTGTGTCTGTCTCCTTCCCAGTGTGAGCAATTTGTGAAGCAGTACACATTCCAGCTACTGATTCTGATGTCCAGAGGCTGGGATGCCCACACCACCTGCAAGGTATACTCACCCTCCCCATCTAACTCTAGGACTTCCCTCAGTACCCAGGCCCCCCAATAGCTCTGGTCCATGGTCCCCCAAAAGCCCTGATTCCCTGGGTTTTGGCCATCCCCAGATGTGTAGGCCCGAAACTGGGAGGTGCTATTTAACACTGTGGTAATATAGAAAAAGCATTCTCAGGGGAATAAAGAAAAAGTCACAAAAAAATGGAAGAGTTTGGAAAGGAAGGGGGCAGCCTTAAGGAGTGTAGTTTGATGCACATTATGGGCTGACAGGTGGGAGTTCTGAGCAAGCATCCCATCCCCTCAGGCTCCAAACCTAGAAGGGCTATGGCCCTGGGGAGCACCCACCAGGTGGCAGGTGGAGGATCAGTTTCATATGCTCCTGAGTGCTGGAAACTGGCAGGGGTTGCTGAGGCTGTCAAGGCCTCTAGCTCTATGTTGTCTTGCGTACAGGCCCTGGGGACGTGTGCAGCCATGCTCAGCCCTCTTCAATGTGCTCACCTCTGATGAGAACTCAAAGCTGTGCCAGGTGAGTGTGGGCAGAGAGCAGAGGTGGGGCAGGGTCTGCACACGTGGTGGGGAGGAAAAAAGGGTGTCTTGCTTGGACCCAGGTAAGCTCAACTGACAGTTGCCCCAACCCCTTCCCCCACCAATGAGTCAGGGGCCCCAAGCAGGGAGGGTGGGAGTGGAAGCTGCCCTAGCTGCCCGACACAGAAGACTTAGGGTAGTCATGTTTGTCCAAGGCTCCAGCGCCAAGAGCTGCTGGGCCTTCCTTCCCTGTGAGACACTGGAGACCTAGGCTCTGCCATCAACTGGTAGTGTGTCCCTAGGCAAGACACACTGTCCCTCTCTGGCCTGTCTTCTCCTCAGCTGCAAAGAGGGAGCTGAGTGAGATGGTCTCCAAGGTCTCTTGCCATCCAACAAGGCTCCTCCTCAGTCTCGCTGTACCTTGCCCACTGCCCATACGGAGGACATCCCACCCTCTACCTCTCCTCAAAACTGCCTTAAACCAACATACCACAGACCTCAGTCCTTATCTGAGCCTTGTTTGTCTTATCTCCAACCACAGCCCGGAATCCAAGACACTTTCTTCCTCTAGTGTGAGTCAGTCAGGCCAGCATCTTCTAGAAGAGGTCTGGGAAAGGGGGTGTCTGGTCCCAGTCCAGCTCCACATCCTTTATGGAGGATGTGCTGTGGATAAATCATCCACACAATTCTTCCTTCCCTGCTCCAAAAAGTCCAACTGGATAGAAGCTGGGCCCTGCCTCTCACTGACTCCATGAACTCAAGATATTAGCTTTTATAATTTTATTGACGATTTTTTTGAGATTCAAAATTAAGAAGAATAAAAAATGAGGACATAAAATACTAAGATAGCAAAACCCAAACCAAACCTACTGCCATTGATTATAACTCATAGTCACTCTATACAGTTTCCCAGAATGCCAATCTTTACAAAAGCAGACAGACTTATCTTTCTTCCCCTGAAAGGCTGATGGATTTGAACTACTGAACATTTGGGTAGCAGGTTTATTTAACAATCAAGACCTGTCTGATTTAGCCAAGGGTAGACATTGCCAATGCTGAAGCGTAATAAGAAGGTGATTGACCAGATTTCAATGTTTTAAATGTACTGCTGCTTTAAGAACTGTCTCTTTATTAAGACATAAAACAGGTTTTCTTTTTATCTTTTTGTAAGGTGGACTTCCATTTCTAATTTGAAATTCCTGTTGATTCTATTTCTACTGTGATTCATAGGCTCAGAGTTCCGTTAGAGTTGCACATTGTACGGATCACTTCCTATGTAATGCAATGCCTGTAACAATGCTAATAAAATCCTAATTTTCTTGTACCAAAAAACACACTGTCTTTAACTCCTTGGAGTTTCGGTGGGAGCAGCAGCCTCGCCCTAAAGTCAGCTGGGCTAGGGGCCTGCACTGGTGCTCTCTGGTTTGACAGAGAGGGGCCCACACCTCCTCTCTCATTTCTACCTAGCACAGCCCGATGCCCTCCCCTTTCACAGAGACTACTTTACTATACCAGCTGGCACTGCTCTCTGACTCTGACTCTGACTCATGCATGTCAGAGTAGAACCATGTTACATAGGGTTTCCAATGGCTGATTCTTCAGAACTAGATCTCCAGGCCTTTATCCCAAGTGACTCTGGGTAGAGCATTTTGGTTAATAGCCAAATGCATTAACCATTTGCACCACCCAGAGACTCCATGAGGTTTTTAGGTACCAAAAAGATCAAAGTCAACAAAGAGCCAAGTAAATAAACCTTTGGAGTTAAAGGACTAAAAGCCCGAAAGAATCCCCTTATTTACAGAATAACTTCTGTTGTATTTATTACAAAATAATGTTTACTGTTGAAAATTTAGATACAAGAAAAACAAAACAAATCACCCACAATCCTTCTACTCCCAGAAGACAACTATAAACCCCACTGCCTACAAGGCGCTCCCAAATCAAAGTGCCTCTATAGGACAAGGTGGAATAGCCACAAGAGTTTTCAAGGCTGTGATCTTTATGGAAGCAGACTGCACATATTTCTCCTGTAGAGCAGCTGGTGAGTTTGAACCACCGGCCAACCCCTTGGTTAGCAGCGGAACATTTTAACCACCATACCACTAAGGCCTTTTTGGGTAGCTATCCCACCCAAACCCACTGCCATCGAGTTGATTCCACTCATAACGACCCTATAAGGACTTTCTATAAGTAATCCTGAAAGAGTCCTGGTGTGGCGCTGTGGGTTAAGGCGCTGGACTACAAAGTCGCTTTGAACCGCAATGCCGGTGGTTCAAGCTCACCGTTGCTCCTCAGAAGTCATACACAGGGTCGGTATGGGTCGGAACTGACTCGATGGAACTTAACAAGTTTTTAAAGATGAGGCTGTAAATCTATACAGGAACAGGAAGCCTCATCTTTCTCCGTGAAGTAGCTGGTGGTTTGTACCTTGTGGCTAGCAGTTCAGTGATTACCGTATAGCGCCAACAAGCAGAAGAGTTGAATCTGACTTCTGATTTCAAACTTTCAAGCATACTTTGACAAATCTATGCTAAGCTATTCTCTTGAAAGTCATTGTTTCCATTTTAAGACCCAGGTATCAGAGAGGAAAGCGTGTTTAAAAACAACAAAAAAAGTTTGGTTGGAAAGATGCAGAGCCAAATCCTGAAGGAAGAGAAGTATTAATAATTTACCCCAAAACACGAGTGGGAATAAGTGCTTGGTCATGGAAGAGCAGCCTTCATCAAAAGGAAATCAAGAGTAGACCAGCAGGTTGTTGTTGTTAAGTGCCGTCAAGTGGATTCTGATTCATAGTGACCCTGTATAGAGTTCCCGAGGAGCAGCTGGTAGGTTTGAACCACTGACCCTGTGGTTCAAATCAACCTTGCCGTCCAGTGCTTATCCTACAGCATCATATCAGGACCAGCGAGTGTCAGGAGAGAACTAAAAGAAAGTGGTCACAGCCCAGACTCAGAGCATCCCTGAGAAATACCAGCTTTCTGCAACCCCCAGAGGGCAGTGCCCCTAGTGGAACTAAGCCCTGATAGCAGAGGGCATTTGTTCATGTTCCAGGGGGAACACAAGTCCCTCGGAGAAGTCATGACACCAGAAGGGGTGAAGAAACAGCTTTATAGAAGGGCCTAGTCAGACGGGCCTGAAAGCAACCTCCCAGAAACCAGGCCTCACCCCGCCACGCAAGAGATGATCAGTAATGACGCTGGACAAAGAGCTGAGGGTTGGGAACCGGGCAGTGCCAGAGTTCACGGATCCTAAGATGACTGAAAACTGGCATCCAAGATCTCTGCTCACAACAGTGCAATTTGTAAATCAGTCCCAGGGCAAAGGGAAGGAGGACTCAGTGGTTGGTAATCTAAGAGAAACTGAGTATTAAACAAAAAGGGACTGAGTTATCTTCAAATGGAAATAATACATTTTTTAATATTTTAAATGAAGGCTCATGAGCAAAGATTACTTCAATTATAAAGAAATAAAGACAGTTACATTTGTGTTGTTGTTAGGTGCCATTGAGTCGGTACCGACCCATAGCGACCTTATGCACAGCAGAACAAAACACTGCCTGATCCTGGGTCAACCTCACTATTGTTGCCACGCTTGAGTCCATCAATGCTGCTACTTGGCCAATCCATCTTGTTGGGGGTCTTCCTCTTTTTCTCTGACTCTCCACCTTACCAAACATGATATCCCTCTCCAGTGACTGGTCCCTCCTGACAATATTTCCAAAGTATGAGAGATGAAGTTTGGCCATCCTGGCCTCCAGGGAGCACTCTAGCTGCACTTCTTCCAAAACTGATCTATTGGTTCTTTTGGCAGCCCACGGCACTTTCAACACCATAAACTCAAAAGCATCAATTCTTCTATGGTCTTCCTTACTCACTGTCCAGCTTTCGCATGCATGAGGTTATTTAAAATACCATGGCTTGGGTCAGGTGCACCTTAGTCCTCAAGCTGACATCTTTGCTCTTCAACATTTTAAAAAGGGTTACATTTGTATCTACCCAATTAATGACTGAAATTTTAATACCACTACAAATCATATTTATCTATTAATTATATATTATTTATTATGTATTACTCCAGACCTTTCTGTACACATATACTAAAATCGATGTACAAAATAGGAGTATCCTATATAGACTGTTTTGCAAACTTTTCATTCATTTAACAATAACCTTTACAGGTCAAGAAATACAGATAGTTACCATCATTGCTTCTCAAATTATTTGCTCAACATACAGACTGAGTAGGTATAACTAAAGAATACAACCCTGATGCACACCTTTCCTGAATTTAAACTACAGTATTCCCTTGCTCTGTCCCAACACAATTAAGTGCTCTGGAATTCCTGTTCTTGTCAGTGTTACTCATAACTTGTAATGATACACACAGTTGAATTCCTTTCGTAGTCAATAAAACACAGGTAAATATCTTTCTAGTACTGTCTGCTTTCAGCCAAGATCCATCTAATGTTAACAATGATTATCTCCTCATTCCTTGTCCTCTTCTGAATTCAACCTGAGTTTGTGACAGTTCCCTGATATGTACTTCTGCAATAATTTTTAAATTATCATCAGCAAAATTTTATTAACTTGTGATAGTAATGATATTGCTTGGTAATTCCCACATTCTGTTGGGTCACCTTTTTTGGAATGGGCACAAATATGGATCTCTTTCAGTTGGAAGGCCAGGTAACTGTCTTTACGGCATAGATGACTGAGAGTTTCCAGCATTGCATCCGTTTGTTGAAACATCTCACTTGGTATTCTGTCAATTCTTGGAGTCTTGTTTCTTGCTAATGCCTTCAGGGCAGCTTGGGCTTCTTCCTTCAGTGCCACCAGCTCTTGACCAGATGCTACTTTCTGAAATGAACATCAATAAGCGCCTCTGTGTGGCTCCTTCCATCTTCTTTAGATGCTTCCTGGGTCATTCAATATTTTGCCTTCAATACCACAACTCAGAGCTTGAATTTTTCCTTCAGTTCT